CTGGTGCAGGAAGCCAATGTCAGCAGGAGAACAGAAGTACTAGGTCCTTTTCCCCTTTCCTGCTCTCTGCAGCCTCTGCCTTGCCTCAGGTGGAGTTGGGCAGAGTTGGGCTGAGCAGGGCCAAACTGCATCCTAGAGCAGGTGGTCTTGTTACTTTTGTGACTTGCCTGGGCGCTCCAGGCACTTTTGTATGGCTTTTGCGTAAGGGGAAGCTGCCAGGGCCTGATCTTGACCCTCCTAAGGGCTAAACAAACATCTTTAGGGGTCATTTATTAACTTGCTGTCTAGGACTTAACCACCCCACTCTACCCCCATCTATGCCTCTGGCCAGAATTGTCCCAGCTAAACTGTGTATAGAGAAAGAACTAGGAATGCAGAAGTCTCTGCTTCTCTGGGATAAACAAAGAGCCACAAAGACTGCCTGAGACAGAGAGGGAAGGAGTGGGGAGATGAAAAGACAGATTGTATTTCCTGTGATCTCAAGCACTGGGAGGCTGTTCTGTCAGCTCACTGGGCCCATTGTGACCCCAAAGTAGTCCCTCCACACAAGAAAGGAGCAGTGCACTTGCATTCTTAATCCTTGCAATAACCTAAAGGTCAATTGGCCCATTTGTTACTTGAGGAAACAAGTTTTTAGAGGCTCAATTTGGCATAGTTAATAAGTAGCAGAGCCAGAAATTAAACCAATTTCCTCCAACACCACTAGATTAATAATATGTTCCTTTTGCTACCCTGTGTTTCCTTTCAATGTCAAACCTATTTCAAGTCAACAAATATATTACCTACTAAGTACCAGGTGCAGCTAGGAGCTTTCAGTAGTCATTCCCTGACCCCAACCTCCTGGCTCCAACCCTCCATCCATCTTCCCTTTCTCAAAAGTTCCCACTTTCAAAAAAAATTGTCTCCCTGTTCCCTGCTCAGTCTACCCAGCCACTTCCCAGCTCCTTGGCCCCTCACCGCCTCTGTCTGCACCTGGTCAGCAATGCAGCTGTACTCCTGGTGGGGCAGCAGGCACTCTTGTGTCAAAGACTTGATAGGGGCAAAGACCAGGGCTTCACCACCTGCACAGTTGCTCCTGATGCAAAGTTGGATCAGCCTGAGCCACAGTTGAACATACTCCAACCTCCTCTTTGAGGAGCAAGGGCAGGGAAGAGAGCTTGGAAAGGACACAGCTGGACAGTCATCTCTGGAGATAAGGTTTGGCTCCCTCGATTTAAGCGTATTTAATATTAATTAAGCCCCTAATAAGTACCAGGCCAAGTACTGAGGATACCACAGAGATCGAATAAGAAAAGGGTAGATGTGGTCTTGTACACTCATGGAGATTATATTCCAGTAGGGGGAAGAAACAACAGCAAGAAGTAAGCAAACGCAGGCTAGGGGTGTAGCTCAGTGGTAGAGAGCATTCTTAGCATGCAAGAGGTCCTGAGTTCAATCCCTGCACCAAAAAATAAAAAATAAAAATAAACAAATACATAAAATAATTTCCCAATTGCTATGAAAAGAACAAATGAGGAACAAGAAGCTGAGAAAGAGGATGGGGTATGTGTCAAGATATCAGGTCAAAGGAAGGAAATGAAGGAACATGAAATCTCAAGGAAGATGGAAGGAGACAGGACAGCTATAAATTCGAGAGATCCACTTCTCTAGGATGAAGGCAGTGGGAACCAGTTCAGCTGCTAGTCTCAGTCCCAAACTTCCTGGCCTTAACTCATTCCCCCCAGGTCTAGCCTGTACACCCCTCATTGGCTTAATGATTCACTCTCAGCCTTTCTCTAGGTTCCTGGGTAGCAGGGAGGAGCAGGGGCATAGGCCTGGGTTTCTAGGGGTGGCAGAAATGGGGATGATGTTGGGTGAGAAGGAAAAACAAGCAATCTAGGTTCACTGGGTCTTCTCTTGGTCCCATTCTGGTCTTGTCACAAAGAAAGGTCCCTCTGTGCCAGGAGGAAGAAAGGTGAAAATAACCAAGAGCAGCTGCAGGCCCAGATTCCAGATGTAGGAGATAGTGGTGAAACAAGATCCTGACATCCCTTTCATTTCCCTCCCCTGCCTAATGCCCTGCAGAAATTTTCCATCATAAACAAGTTATGCATTCCTGACCTTGAGTGCCTCCCCCTCTCTCCCACAAGTTTTCTTCCATCATCACTAGCTCCTTCTAACCCTAAACTGATGTCCATGCACGAGGCTCTGTCCACATTATAAGCAGTTATGCATTTATGTTGGTCACTGTGTAGTGTGAGAATAAGAGTGTAGGCAGATGTGCAGGTTTTGCTCATGTGTAAACCTAAGGATGATGACAAGGGAGAGAGGGAGATATGGGAAAGAGATGTGTCTTTGTTTTCAGAGGAGGTGTGTGCCAGGAAGAGGTGTGTAATGCAGAATTATATGTTTAGACAGCAGTAGTAGGTGTAAAATAAAGCCCCATCTAGCACAGGAAGCAATTGTATATACAGCAATAGTATATATCTTTCTAGATTAGTCATGGGACTTATTTGCCTTCCTACACGTCCTTGGTTGAAAAACACCTTTCCATGTTTCCTGTTTGGTGTCTATGTGTCTATGTAAGAATTGTCCCTACTTTTCTTAAGATGTTGTATGGAAGGTTTAGAGGAGTGTATTCATGTCTCAAAAGCTTGAGGAGACTCAGCCAGTGTGTGAATAGCATGTGTGCATTTATAGTCCTGTACCTTCATCTTTCATTTAACAAGATTATTGAACAACAACAACAAAAAAAAAACAAAAAAGCTGAGTGTTGGTGGCTTATGCTTGTAATCCTAGCTACCCAGGAGGCAGAGATCAGAAGGATAGAGGTTCAACACCAGCCTAGCAAAATATCCTGAAAACACCCAACAGAAAATAGGGCTAGTGGAGTGGTTCAAGTGGTAGAGCATCTGCCTAGTGAGCCTGTGGCCCTGAGTTCAAACCCCAGTGGGGAGGGTGTGTGTGAGATTATTAAGCAACTACTACCTGCAAGGCACAGTGCTGGGGTCCATGAGGGACACAAAGACACATGTAACCACAGCCTCTAATGGAAGAGGCCATGTATATATTCGCTTTGCCCACCAGGCTTAATACAGTGGTATGAAGACCTGAGCCAGATACATTTCAAATCCCTGGAGTCAATGCTGATGTTTTCATTCTCTTGCTATCAGCAAGCCCCTAGGCTTCCTTCCTCTAATGATACCCATCTCATTGCCAAAGCCTGGTGTTCGTATGCTACAAATGTCTCTTATGTCACCTTTTCAGGCCCTTGTTACCTTCTACCTAAGCCCCTCCAGTAGCCTCCTCCCCCTCAAGGGCATATTCTACATCCCAGTCACTTCCCTGCTCAAACTGTGCTCCTTTCATTTTATCCCTCACCTCCAGCCTCATGGTCCAGAGTCAAACCCAGGCTGCCAGTTAAGCTCTCCCAGTCTGCCAAATACCTTTCCAGCCATTACTATTTCCCACTACTCTTTTACAGGAAACTGACTGTGAGATTGTTTTCCCTGTGATTCCCCAAACACATCCTGTACTTTTCCAGCTCAAGGCCTTTGCTGATTCCATCCTCTTTTTCACAGTCATCCTTCACATCTGATTTTGTCATATCCCACCCGCTGTTTGAGGTCATCTCAAATGCCATGTTTCACAAAGTCTCCCCTGACTGATTAGTCAGAGGTGAACACTAGCTCTTTGGGGTCCTCTTTAACACTTAGTTTTCTTAGCACCCTCAGGAGAGTTCTCCTGGTCATGGTCCCCTCCCCATGCCAGAGGACAAGGCTCCCATGTCAAAGTGACAGTTCTATCTTGCTTGCCTCCAAAGCACATACACCTGAAACGAACCTCAAAACTCTCAACAGTAGTTTTGTTTTGTTGGAACTGGGATTTGTACTCAGGGTTTCACGCTTGCAAAGCAGGTGCTCTACTGCTTGAGCCACACCACCAGTCCATTATATTCTAGTTATTTGGGATATGGAGTCTCACAAACTATTTGCCTAAACTAGCCTCAAATCTCAATTCTCCCAATCTCAGCCTCCCAAGTAGCTAGGATTATAGGTGTGAGCAACCCAGTGCCCAGTTAAGCAATCCTCCCCCCTCCCCCTCCCAAGAGGCAGTGACTACAGTCACACTACACTCTGCCTGGGTTCAAGAGTACTTTTACCAAAGCACCTACTATAGGTGAATGCTCAAAACAATGTCAAATTCTGTGTCGGTGAGCAGCTGTCTTTAAGGCAGATATGGAAATGTGTCAATTCTGTGTTGAGTAATTACCATTAATACAACATTTAAATAATGTCTCACAATTTTAAAAGTTCTTTACAAAAACGTATGGGTTTGACCCATACAAGAGGCAAACCTAGGTGACTGCCAATCTCTTGCCTTTGTACTTTGTGGTTCTCTGCACCAGTCTTTGTGTGACTGTTTCTGTGCACATCTGAGTAGATTTGCTGCGTTGCCCCTATGCAGTCATGGCTTCTTTGTTGTGTGTGTGTGTTATGTGTTATATGCACCTGTGGCTGTGTTATATGCATGTAATACACTGTGTGTTTTCAGTGTGCTAAAGCAAGTAGAGTTATGTCTGTGTGCTGGTGTTCATTTCTTAAGTCTTTTTGGCAATTTTTCCAATGACTTCCTTCCTGGAGTGTGTTTTCTGTGTGTACCTACAAGTGTGTGAATGTGCATTTTGTGGCTCCTTGAGTTTGCTGGGTGAGTATTGTAGCAGAATAGCCAGATCTTCTAAGCTGTTGTGAGCCCCTTTCCAGCTGCCACATGTCCAGACATGTGCCTGTCCCCAGGGATCTCACCCTCCTGCATTCACTCCACACGCACAACGTGCATTTGGGCACCTAGGGATGCACAGGCCAAGTCTCCGCCCACTCCTTTTGCCTAATCCTCGGAATTTCCAACCGGCTCTAACCAACCGCTCCCCTGCTGGGAGGGGAGGAGCTACAAGAGCCCGCCCCATTTTGTAGAGTATATAACTAGCACTCCTTGGTAGTGGAGCAGTACTCAGGCTTACTCGTCTCTCGGCGTGCCATGTGTCACTCTCGCAGCTCTCTCCCCACCATGACTGGCCTGCGGATCCCAGCTTCTGCCCCCTCCACCAGCCCAGGACTCCGGCGGGGCTCTGGCCCGGAGATCTTCACTTTCGATCCTCTCCCTGAGCCGGCGGTAGCTCCCGCCGCACGCCTCAGCGCCTCTCGCGGGCACCGAAAGCGCAGCCGCAGGGTCCTCTACCCTCGAGTGGTGAGTAACGCCGAAGTAGGCAGCTTAGGGGACATGCCGCCCTGGTACCTCGGGGAACTACTGGACGCCGGGAGCCTTGGCCTAACTTCTCCACATTTTTGTTTCCCGTAAGGTCCGGCGCCAGTTGCCAGCCGAAGAATCGAACCCTGCTAAAAGGTTCCTGTTTGTCCTACTCACCATCATCTTCTGCCAGATCCTGATGGCCGAAGAGGGTGTGCCGGGGCCCCTGGTCTTGGAGGACTCCCCCAGAGTTGCGTCCTCTACGCCCATCCCCGCGCCGGTCTCTGCGCCTCCAGTCCTCGAGCCCTTTAATCTGACCTTGGAACCCTCAGACTACTCTCTGGACCTCAGCACGCTCCTCCAGCAACACCCAGCTGCCTTCTAACCGTGACGCCTCACCATCCCCAAACAAGAATCTGAGAAACCAAAGAAACACCAGGTGTAGCTGGTGCGTATCCCAAACTGGGACTTTCAAGGCAACTTGAAGTTACAACACTACAGCAGAGAGAGACGCCTGCCGGTGCTTGGGGCGAGACTGAGGCGCTGACAAGCCCAGGCTAAGCCCAGTGGAGAAAAGCGGCGTTAATTTATTTCTCAGTGCTTCTAATTAGTATTTATATGTATTTATGTATATCCCTCTAGGTGATGGAGGGATGTATATGTGATATTTATTTTAACTTATGCAAGGGTGCGAGATGTGCTCCCCTGCTGTAAATGCAGATACTCGGTATTTATTGAGCTTTGTGGGATTGGTGGAGGCAGCGCGCCTAGAATTGAGGCAGAGTGGGGGAGTAAAGGGGAAACTGGCTGGGAGGACGCTTAGCCTGGGAGTCAGGCACGGTGGTGGGTCGTAGGTTTAGGCAGTGACAACCCGTTCTTCAGCATCTCAACTCTGGGGGTCTACTGTGTAAGGCTTCGGCAGACTGTTGGAGATCTCCTCAAAGCTGTCACTGAGGGGAGACTGCGAGCTATCAAGGGGCGACTGTCAGGGTCACCCAGTATGTTCTGTGAACACAAATAAACTTGATTTACTGTCAGCAGTCTTCTGCGTGTATCTTTGCAAGTTGTGGTTCCCTACCTTCAGGCGCCAACCACTGGCGGGAGGAGCTGTGGCCAAGCTCCCAGCCCTCTTCCCCTTCCGGGGCCCCCGAAGTCCCTTTTCTTGGAGTCACGGACCCAGATCCGGCCTCCAGATGCGTAGCTCATGCCCAGTCTGCGGCTTTCCTAGTGAGCGGGTGGCAAACCCCAGATGTGGCAACCCCTCTTACTCACCAAGCTCCGCCCGCGCTCGGGGGCGGGGCGAGGAGGGCCTGGGCGGGGCTCTCGACTCCGAAAGGACAGCGGTGGGTGGAGGAAGCGGAGCCCCACCCCGGGCTTGCCTGGCAGCCCCGAGGGCCCCTGGAGCTGGAGGGCTGCGGGCGGGAGCGGGGCCTGCCGGGAAAGGGGCGGGCCGAGCATACAGGGCCGAGGGGGTTGGTCCGCGGTGGGGGCGGGGTCGTGTTTGCCGCAGCAACAGGGTGCGGCCGGGTTGCGGGGCGCGGGTGCGGGCCCTGCTTCCAGGAAGGCAGGTTCGCGAGCTGTCCCTGCTGGGCTTGCAAGCCCAGCGCGTCCCTTCCCTTCCAAATACCGCTGCGCGGCCGCTGCCTGCATCCAGGAGGGTGAGTGGGGGAGGGGAGGCAGAGCTAGGGCTGCAAATGCTGGGAGCGTGCGGAAATGTCTACAGACCCTTGGGGGCGGGAGAGCTTTATCAGATAAAGGGGGTGCGGTGAGGTTACCAACTAGTGACCGAAAGTTGTAGAGGAGGAGTGGCGAGGGGGTCTTCGGGGTTTCACAGGGAAAAGCCTTAGTGGACCTTTGGGTGTGGAAGGGACTGAGCCGTGGTAGATGCAGACTGGGCAGGCCTGGCGGGAAAGGGAAAGGATTTGCTTCCGTGGGTGCTACAGCACCCCTTCCCCATCTGCAAAGGCTTCTTCTCCCTCTCCTCCAGCTGTCGCTTGAACCATGTTTTTCACTTGTGGCCCAAATGAGGCCATGGTGGTCTCGGGTAAGTATTGTCTTCCCATCCATTGATCCCAAAACCCCTTAAGTATGGCTTCTGCTCCCTCCTCTCCCTACCAGCTCCCCAGACCCAAGCTTCTGCCCCATGAGAGCCATAAGCCTCCTCACTGTCCCCAAGGCCCAGGCTGCCTCCCCTTCAGCTCCACATTCTCTCTTGTGGATGTTCCCAGCCCCAAGTTCTTCAGTCTAATGCACTACAGCTCTACCACGACTGCACAATGCCTTCACTTTGCAGGTTTCTGTAGAAGCCCTCCAGTCATGGTGGCTGGAGGACGGGTCTTTGTCCTGCCTTGCATCCAGAAAATTCAGAGGTAGGTAGGTGGGAAGAGAACCAAGGAAGGGGAACCTCAGTTTTCTCTCTGCTCTTTTCCTCACTGTCGGCCCCTTCTCTTTCCCCTAGGATCTCTCTCAACACACTGACCCTCAATGTCAAGAGTGAAAAGGTTTACACTCGCCATGGGGTCCCCATCTCAGTCACGGGCATTGCCCAGGTGAGGCTTTCAGAGCCTTTTCCCCAAAGTTCACCCCATCATACTCTATCTCCCAAACATTAAGAATCTGACCATGACCATCTTCTCAACCTCTACCTGCAAAGAAACATCTCTGTAGTCCTGCCTTCTCCAGCCACCCCCAAGGCACTTTGCTCCACCTTCTTTCTCTCGCTAAGATGGAAGAAGCTGTTCTCAGAGTTCCCCCACACACACATTCCTTGCTTCCTCCCTGGCTTTATGAGATTTCTCCCATACTCTCCCTATCCCTACTTTGGCTGCAGGTGAAAATCCAGGGGCAGAACAAGGAAATGTTGGCAGCCGCCTGCCAGATGTTCCTGGGGAAGACGGAAGCTGAGATCGCCCACATTGCACTGGAGACACTGGAAGGTCACCAGAGGGCTATCATGGCCCACATGACTGTGGAGGTGGGCCTGGGGAAGAGAAAGATCTGGATGGGATGTAGAATGAGATAGAGCCTAAGGTCCCAGCTAAGTCTGTGAGAGATATTGGATCTGAGGCTTAAGACCCTTTTTCCCACCATTCTGTTGTCCTAGGAGATCTATAAGGACAGGCAGAAATTCTCAGAGCAAGTTTTCAAGGTGGCATCCTCAGACCTAGTCAACATGGGCATCAGTGTGGTTAGCTACACTCTGAAGGATATTCACGATGATCAGGTAAAACTAGGCAGTTGATCCTTCCCTGTTTCCTTGTTCACATCTCTCTCTCTCTCTCTTTCTCTCTTTCTCTCACTTTTTAATTTTTTTTTTTTTTTTTGGTGGCACTAGGGTTTGAACTCAGGGCCTCATGCTTGCTAGGCAGGCACTCGTACTGCTTGAGCAACTCTGCCAGCCCTGTTCCCATCTCTTAAGCTCTCATGAGGACTCTGGTTTCTGCACCTCTCCCACAGGACTATTTGCACTCTTTGGGGAAGGCTCGTACAGCACAAGTCCAAAAAGATGCCCGGATTGGGGAAGCAGAGGCCAAGAGAGATGCTGGGATCCGGGTGAGAGAGATTGGGATTGCTCAGTCACCACAGGCTTGTTGGATATCTGATGAGAAAGGGGATGAGGGGACAGAAGGGACACAGCTGATAGAGCTGGGTTGGCAGGGGGAATAGATGAAGCCTTGGCAAAGGCAGAGAAGTCTGGTAGGGAGCAGGTTATTACCTTGTGGCCTTCATCTCTTCCCTGAGTTCCTACCTGATCTCCATTTGGACAGGAGGCTAAGGCCAAGCAGGAAAAGGTGTCTGCTCAGTACCTGAGTGAGATTGAGATGGCCAAGGCGCAGAGGGACTATGAGTTGAAGAAGGCCGCGTATGACATCGAAGTCAACACCCGTCGAGCACAGGCTGACTTGGCCTATCAGCTTCAGGTAAGAGCTGCCACACTGGGTAGATGGCCAGCCTGCTCATTGACCTTCTCCTGCCTGTCACTCTCACCATCACAGGCTGCCTCTATTTCTTATCTTCCAACTTTGATCTTATTCAGGCTCTCCATATCTTACCTATCTCCCCCCCATATGATGAGAGCTGTAAAAGACTCAAAACAGTCAGCTGAAAAGCAAAGAAAAAGCCATAAATGGATATGATCAATAGAGTTGATTGTGTTTGGGGCAGGTGGGCTTTGCCTTGTGCAAGGGTGCCTGACTGAGTGCGTGAACCAGAGCTAAGACCCAGCCCATGCTCCACTTGCCAAACTATGTGTTGGGACATGGGTCTGCATCCCAGAGGAAGGGATACCTTTTTTGAATTTGTACAGAAGCACCCTATAGGCTAACAGTAGTCTTTGTGATCAAGGAAGGGTTTGAAGAAGGAAAACAGGAACATGGGCCTTGAATCTGCAAAGTGATTAGCGTGCATTCCTTTGTATGGCAAGGAGGTATAGCTGATTGTTGTTACTCATGGATTCCATATTTGAAAATTTGCCTGTTCACTAAACTGTATGGGTAACCCCCAAATAAGTACTTGCTGCATGCCCAAGGTCATTTGCAAACATTGTATGGAATAGTGAAAAATCTGAGTTGCCTGATGAGCAGTTTCTAGGTGAGGTTGTACAGGAGTTTCAGAGGGTTCAGTCCATCATGGCAGGGAGGACGTGGTCTTCACATCATGGTGGCCTGAAAGCAGGAAAGGCAAATACAGGAGAAAGCCAGGGCAAGGCATAGCCATCAAGGACACACCCCTAGTAGTTTGCTTCCTCCAACTAGGCCCCACCTCTTACTCTTCACCATCTCCCAGTAGTGCCTTCACATTCTGAATTCATCAAGAGATTAATCCATTAGATCAGAGCCCTTATGATCTGATCATCTCTGGAAACACCTTCACAGACACACCCAGAAGTGTGTACTAATCTCCTAGGTGTTTTTAAATCAATCAAGTCCTGAGTTCAAACCCCAGTACTTACCAAAAAAAAAAAAAAAAAATTAACCCTCACAGAGACACTGCCTTCTTGCTTCAGCTCTCATTATGAATAGTGTCATTTATGTAGTATGTTTACTACCACAGTGTGTGCATTTTTGTACTTTTTGTTTGTGATTTTACTATTTAAAATGGCCCCCAGAATTGGTTGATTAACAAATGTTATAACCAGGGTTGGCAGAGTGGCTCAAATGGTAGAGCTCCTACCTAGCAACACACAAAATGTTATGACCAGAGATTCACAAGAACCTAACCATATATTTGCCCTAGGAACAAAATTAAGTATTTCCCCTAGGAACAAAATCAGCATTTGTGGCTGTTTTACAGAACAGAACTACTGTGAATAATAAGAGTCAACTGTACCTTGAGACATTTACAAAGGATAGTGATAGTATGGATTTTATTTTTGCCAAGAATTGGTACTGACTGAAAGTATAATGAGGTACAAAGCCTCTTTAGTTATGTAAACTTCCTGGGTGACTCCTCAGGTAGATGGTGACATAGTGCTTTGCCACACAAAGTGTGTTCTACGCAGCAGCAGCAGCAGCATTGAGAGCCTACTTAAAAATATAAAATCTTGGGCTGGAGGCATGACTCAAGTGGTAGAGGGCTTGCCTAGCAAGCACGAGGTCCTTAGTTCAAAACCTCACTACCATTTAAATAAATAAGGAAAGAAAGAAATATAAAATTTCCAGCTCCAGTCCAGGCCAACTGAATAAGAACCTGTACTTCAACAAAAGCCCAACGTGATTTGTATGTCTGTTGGCTTTGAAGAGTGTTACCATGATGAAAACCATTAGCTTGTGGTGAGACTCTAAATAAGGTTCTGTTAGTAGCTTTCCGTCACTATAACAAAATACCTTTCTTTCTGAATGAGGAAAAGTTTAGGGCTGGGAATGTAGCTCAGTGGTAAACCAATTTGTCTAGCATGCACCAGACCTGGGTTCCAGCCCCAACATCACTTAAAAAATAAAAGGTTTCTTTTGGCTCACAGTTTTGGAGGTCCTCAGTCCGTAATTGGGCCTGTGGAAAAGTTGCACATCATGGTCAGAGTACATGGTGGAGCAGACCACTCACCTCATGACTAGGAAGCAAGAGACAAGGAAAGGGCCATGAAAAAGACCTCCCACAGGTCCCACCTCCTGATAGACTGGGGACCAAACCTTTAACACATAGGCCTTTGGGGGTACTTATCCAAACCATGGCAATTCCTAACCTTAATGTGGCTTTGCTTGTCTGCAAATTAGTGATTGTTGAATGGG